TCAGAGATTGCCTCAGGACCAAAATCCAGTCTTGTAGATCAGGTCCTGCCTTACTAACACAACTGCCACCCATACTCCCTCATTAACATCACAGAGGCAGGTTTACAACATACAGGAAAATCACACAGTACCAGGAATCATGGCCTAGCCAAACTGATACACACATTTTTTGGGGGGCATAATTCAAACCATGACAAGATGGATTGACACAGTGGCTGCAACAATGGGCTCAAGCATATTGATTGTGAGGATGGCACAGGACTGGGCGGGCAGTGTTTCATTCTGTTGTACACAGGGTCACTATGAGTCGGAACTGACTCGACGGCATCTAACAACAACAAGTGGCTCTGCTGGAGAAAAGACCAGGCAATCTGCTCTCATAAAGATTACAGGCTAGGAAACCCTACAGGGCAGTACTACTCTGACCTATAGGGTCACTATGAGTTGGAATCAACTCCAGGGCACACAGCAAAAACAACACCCTCTCTCAATTGTTTCTGAAAGGTGGAAGGAGAATGAGTGAAGGAGTCGGGGATAGGAGAGTGAGGATGGGAAATATTGCTCTACAAGGGATATTTGGCAATGTCTGGAGATATTTGGTTTTCACAAGGGGTGCAGGGAGAGATGCTACTGGCATCTAATGGGTAGCAGCCAGGGATTCTGTTAAACATCTTACAATGCACTAGACAACAAATAATTATCTAATTATCTGGCCCCAGATACCAATAATGCTAAGGTTGAGAAACAAACAGTAAAAACACTGTTTTTCTGATTTACAGATTACAGATCAGGAAACAGACCTAGAGTAGTTAAACAGGTAGGACAAGATCATGCAGTTAGTGAGTGACACAGCCAGGATTTGTCCTCCTATTTGCTTCCAAAACTTATGCTTTAAACATCCCTCTTGGTTTACACAAATAATGGCTAGTCACTCATGAATTGTAATTATTAGCATCACTTACCAGAACATAGTGAGTAAAATGACATCTATTACAAATTTGAATGAAATTCTATACATGTATTTAAAATAATGAAATAGATACAAAGGGACAAATGAATAAGAGCAGAAGACACCAAAACACCTATAAGGCTGAAGATATGAAAGACATCAAAGACATCAAAGAAAAAGCCAAAAAACATCAGGGAAACAAACAAAATGGTAGAGTGAACTATGTGGATGACCAACGGGATTCTATTATTTAAAAAGCAAAAAAGATCCCAATATGTAAAAGCTATAATATTACATACAAGGGTCTGGAAAGAATCCTTCTACAATGATAATGTTGCCTGGTGCTTTAACTCTTTAAATTAGATTATTTCACCTAAATTTGCTTTGCACATTTTTGAAAGTTTGGACACAAGAATGAAAAGAGCCAGAAAAGTAAGACAGAAAGAATTCTGAGTTTTAAAATATATCTTTTGAAGTTATTTAGCCTAGAGATAATAAAGCAAAGGAATGACTCTCTTTTAAAAGTTGGTTGGTCCTCAACAGAACGATGTATTCACATATGAATACACAGGAAAAACGTGTTTAAATGTCACTAATAAAAACTTTTTTAATTATTAGGGAAAAATGTCAAAGATTAACTATCAAGGATAGCTATGAATCACATCAGATATCTTTAAAAGTTGCTGATCCTCAAAGCAGACAGACACTTCTTCCATGAATAATCAAAAATGCTACTCTAATAATGAAATTATTACAACACAACTCAATCTCTTTCCCATACTACTCCAGTCTCTCGACAGCTACAACTTCTCCTTAGTGAATTCCACTTTCAAGAGTACTATCAAATAGGAAAGGATTATTTCATTTAGATTTATTCATCCAAAGCTGAATTAAAGTGTGAGTGTCCACATGAAACACATGTTGGCAGAAACCATAGTCTGTGAAACAAATTATTAGATAGATGAGAAAGTCTCTACTAGGAGTTCAAATCAGAGGAGAATACATATATGAGTGATATGTAGTTTATTTTTATATTTGATAAAGGTTTTAGATTTACTGAATAGTATTACATAGATAAGAAAATGTGATTTTAAGTTAATTTACAAATAGCTTTTTCTGTCAGATTTTTACAAGTGAATACTTCAAAATCCTGAAACAAAGTATAAGCCCTTAGAAGGATACTAAATATAAAAAGTTTTCAAACATCGCATTGATGCATTTCTGTTTTGATATTCATTTTCTTTTTATATATTTATGTGGTAAAAGTGAAGACATTAGCAAAGGAAAATAGAACAGCCACCTAGATAGATTCTAAACTAAACCACTAAAGATACAAAACCAACTTTTTCTTATCATTTAGTACTATGATACCCTTGGGTAAATACAAAAAATGACCAAACTAAAGCTTAATAAGCCCCCAGACACCCTTTTAGCTCAGTGGTGAAGTTATCTCCTGGTTCACCGTTCAGCCTGGGAGTGGACAGCCCCATAAAACCAAATGGGGCTAATGAGGTACAGTAGTCCAGTGACAAGGGCCAGAAGGCAGAAGGGGACATGGAAGCTGGTAATAGGGAACCCAAGGTTGAGTAAGGATATTCTTGATGTGTTGTGAGATTGTTAACCATTGTCATAGGGCAACATGTGTAGTAACTGTTAAATGAGAAACTATTTTGTTCTGCAAGCCATCATCTTAAGTGAGAATAGCAGCACGATTGGAAGAGTGTAGTCAATGTCACTGAACTGTGCATGTAGAAATTTTTGAAATGGGGTATCTTTGGCTATGTGTATTTTCACCAAAAAAAAGGTTGAGAAGTTAGAGGGTTGACATGTTGTGGGGTTGTTAACCAATGTCATAAAACAATATGTGTACTACCGTTTCATAAGAAACGATTTGTTCTGTAAGCCTTCACCTGAAGTACAATAAAAAAAATAAAAATAAAAAAATAATGTGGAAGACCAAACAATGGTTTAGCTTAAATAGCAAAAAATGTCTGCCTTGAGCATTATCCTCATTTAAGAACTATCTGTATGGGATCATATTGACAACAGCAACTCAAAAGATTAGATAGGAACCTTAGGGGACAGTGAGTTTATGTTAATGAGTGAGGAACAACTCAGAAAAAGAGGGTGAGAATGGCTGCACAACTCGAAGAATGTAATCAATGTCACTGAACTGTACATGTAGAAACTTTCTGTGTATATTCTCAACAACAGCAAAATAAATAAAACTTTCAAAAGTAAAATAAAAAAAAAGATTAATAAATATACTTAGATATTCCAAGGGTCCAACTGGGATTATGACTAGAAAGTTATTAACCCTAAGAAATTATTTAGAAAGAACATGCATCTTTAAAGTGTTTAGACTTCCCAATTAGGATCATGAAATGAACCTCTACTCACATGTTCTTTTCATGCTACTCAGTAAAATTTTGTAGCTTTCTTCCTGGAGGACCCCACATTTCTTGACAGTTATTCTTAAATTACATGTTCTGTTTTTTATTTCAGAATGGGAATTACTTTTCATTTACATTTTCTAACTATTTTTGGTATAGTATAAAATGATTCTATATTAATTTCATATCTAGCTGATTTTGGCTTCTCTTATTGATTCTTGGTGATTCTTATAAACAGGAAATGGATTATTCATCAAATAATATTAGGAAATTGTGTAGCGGGGGAGGGACTCATGTTAGATACTCACCTATCTGGTGTATTTTGGCATATACCAAAATAAATTCTAAATTGATTAAAGAGTTAAAGGCTAAAAAAATAATAATAAAAACATAAGTAAAGTACAGTTGATTATTTAACTATTTGGGGATGAATAAACAGTAAGGATGACAGCTATGGCAAAAACTCACCAGAGACAAAAAGATTTAGCTATATTAAATTCAATAGTTCTGAATGACCAAAGAAAAGTCGTAAGTAAACACCAGAATGGGAAATATATTTGGAACAAATCATAGTTAAATAGAGAAAATCCTGACTATAATAAAAAGCTCTTATTAATCAATAAGAGAAACACTAACACCCAGTAGGAACATGGGCAAAGGGAATAAAATGAATGAACAGATAATTCGTAAAAGATATCAAAAGGCCAATAAACACAAAGAACATTCAACTTTACAACCAAATTCAAATTAAAATGACAAAGAGATAGCATTTTTTGTGGCCTATTCAACTGGAAAAGATTCGGTGCATTGAGACTGAAAGCTCAAGCACATCTGGCAGGAGTATAAAGTGTTATGACCTTTCTGGAAAAAAATGTAGTAATCTGCATTAAAAGCTTAAAAGTGTCCAAAGTATGAATATACATTTGTGAAATAATCAGAGATGTAGGCAAAAAATTATGCATAAAGATAACCATTATAATATTATTTATACTAGCAGTTGGAAGCAACTGTAATGTCTCCAAATAATGGAATAGTTAGTTTGTAGTACAACCTTATGATAGAATATTAGTGCAGCCATTTAAAACATATTTCTAAAGAACACCTAATGGCATGAAAAAAAACTAATGATATTAATTAGAAAAATGAAGACATAAAATTATATATATAGTATAATACCAATTTTATAAATATGTAAAATATACATGTATAGGCAAAAAGGAAAAAAGATAACAGATTGTTAACAATGGTCCTATCTGGGGGAAAGGATTATAGATAATTTGCATTTCCTTTTTTATACTTCGAGGAATCTTTCAGCTGTTCTATAGTGAATATATTATTACCTTTATAAGAAGACACAAAAATAAATGTTATTTTTAAAACTACAGTCAATAAATATTTTTAAACTAGCCATCAAGTGATGCAACAAAACATTCAGAAATACAACACCAAAAAACACAATTTAAAAATATCAGTAGACTTTTCTATATATGAACAACAGAAGATATTCACTTTTTTTAACTTGAAATGTTTTTCACATGACCAAGATTATTAAAAGACTTGCAAACCAAAGGCAGTAATAACTAACTATTAAATGTTCACTCAGCAGTAAAATCCTTATCTAATGAATCACAGCAGACGTATTTGGTTAGAGCGCTTACCTTTTTCGCTTACACTCTCACTTTCGATCTCAACATCATCACAGCTTGTATATTCAGGCGTGGAAGCTAATTCCTCCTCTGAACTGCTCAATGAAACCTGGCGCATTTTACCTCCTTTCTTTGATTTATGAGGCTTTGGTGGTGGAGGTCTTACTGACTCTGACTGGTCTGAACTGAGAGAATCATTCCTTAACATTGTTTCCATTTTTTCCCGTTTTGTTTTCCGAACAGCAGAGCTGGGATCTAAGTGGTGTTGTTTCCTTAATGAGTCAGTACGCCTCATATCTGGTCTATCAATGGGTATTGGACTCCTCCGGGGGGTAGGAGGACTATGGTTTGTGGTCCTTTGTGGGTAAGAACCTGGTCCCTGAGCCTCTCGAGTTCTTTCCATTGAATAAGATCGCTGATTTTCCATGGCAGCTGTCCGTTCAGATATAGATCTTTGCCTTGATGGTCGTTCCATCCTTAGCGTAGAAATCCTGGACTCTTCCAATTCAGCATTTGCCAAAGAAACATCACTATGTCTTCTCTCATGCCGTGCTCGGGACACTTCAGCATGGATACGCATTTGTTCTTCATAGGGCTGGGGCTTTACTGGATAACGGGCCAAATTTGGATCACTTTGGTAGCGTGCCTGGTACTCCTCCTCTCTCCTTTGTCTTTCATATTCATCTCTGCCCTCCACATCCTCCTCATCATCTACAATATACTCTTTGGAACGCCTATGACTTCTCCTGTTGGAGTCCCTATAACTTACATGATCAGATTCTTCATAAAATTGACATTGCCTATCAGCATAATCTGATGGAGATCTAGGCATTGCGCTATCTGAAGGAGCATACTGTGAATATTCCTCTCTTTCTTCCCTTTGGTCGTATCTTCTATTCTGATCTCTGGACACTGATGGACTTCTTTTCCTAAGTAACCAAAGGAAAAGAAAGATGAGAAGAGCAACATTTAAACAATTTTACATTTTATTGATTCACTGGCAGGCTGTTGGATAAATTCAAATACTTCCCTTGTTTCATTTTTTCTGATTTCATTTTAAAGACATATCGTAACAAAAGTTTTACTAGTACTCATTTTATTCAGTTCGAATAGTCAATTTACAAGGTACTTTTGCAGTGGTTATTAAACACTTGACACACTACATATAAAACATACTTATGCTCTGAAATCAGATAATCAATATCACATTTAGCTGCTGCAAAACAGCTTTCATTCTAACTTCCTTGATAGGCTTGCTACACTTCAGCTATTCGCCAGCTGTTATTCAGTAGCTTAGAAATATTCTCCCTTCCATCCTCTCTCTTCCTGAAACCTCGCTGTGAAAGTTACTTGAAAATGTAATGAAGCCAAACTTACTTGGCTCAAGAATTGAATACTTTCTGACTAAAACTAAATATTGGCTCCTAAAAATTAATCGTTTTTTCATTCAGCATCTACCTAGATCACTCCCAGCTTTGGTTTACCCCGATCTTCATTTTATCATTATGTCTCCAACCCTTCTTCAGTCCTCTACTTTGATATAAGTAATTTAAATAAATACCATTTTCATTTTCTGGATTACAAAGCGATTTGTTCACCACCACTGCCTTAGCAGTCAGAGAGGACTGCTATTTTTGTTCCATCTTCATTAAGATTAATGCCATCTCGGTGACACTTCTCCACTCAGTCTCAACATCTGACCCCGCATATTTCCTTCCAGTCTCAGAAGAGGACATGGCTTCTTAAACTCTCAACATGTCTCACTAACACTGGCACAACCCGTAACCGGACTTTGCAATCGCACATAATACTCTTTGTCAAGAGTCCTCTTCTCTTGCATGAACTCAGATGGTATCAACTACTAGCCACAGGAAGCAATGAGGTTGGAATCCTGAAGATTACAGAAAAGGATTAGAATAACTGCTATGGGGATTTTGCTAGGACATGAACAGGAGCTAATGAGAAAGTGGGGTCAGTTGAAGTGTTTAAAGATGACCAAGATGAGACAGGTCTGTTGTAAAGTTCTTAGACAATATTTTTTTGGCCCAAAAGCAAGAGCAGAGAAGGAACATGATGAAATGACACAAACCAACAACATCATCACTCTCTTCTAAAGTCTCCTCTGTGTCACCAAATCCCTTTTCCCTCATACCTGGAATACAGGCTGCCAATGTATCGATCAGCGTTCATTAGCGAAAACAGAAGTCTCTCTAGGTTTTCCAAGTAGGAAGGGCTTTAATACAGGAATGAGAAGCTACACAACTGTTGAAATGGCTAGGAGAATGAAGGCCAAGAAAGTTAATGCTGCTGATCTCAGCCTGCAGAAGCAAAGGCAGGGATACTCAAAATGTTCGATTGGAAGATGCTTAGAGAGAAGTTGCCACCAAATATCTCAGCTGCCTACAGCATTGGGGTGATCAATTAACAGAAGCTCTCACAGGAGCACTAGGACTTTCACATCTGCTCATCTGCCTGTTTACAACTACTGCTTGATAATAATGGCTTCTCTTTCTCTTCTACCTTCCAAATCTTACACAAAGTATCTGGTAGACTCTAAGCTGGAACCAGAAAGGGAAAAGAGTATTGTACTGAATAAAGGAACTCATCTGTTCTCCTAAGTGTTTTACAATTGAACAAGTAGATGTAATTTCTTTTTTTTTTTTTAACATTTAAAGCTATGTAAACATTTATGACTTAATACAAATCATTACAATTATTACATAAAACCATTGATTCCTACAGTTGAAAATGCACAATCAAAGCAGGACACTCAAAAGAAATATGCTATTAATCTATACAACATCCTATATATATAGGATATAATATACATGAGCATGTTATGAATCACTCATTTTACTTTTGTCATTATTTTTAGACATGTCACTAAAAAAAATATGCCAGCATGGTAGCAGTGTCACGTAAAGAACACCAGAATTAAGGGATCTGGTTTTTTAGTTCAATTTTGCTATAATTAGTTATTTGAACCTACAAAAGTAATTTACTCTTTGGAAGTCTGTGCTTTAAAATGAGAGGCACAGAATACACATCTAACTCACACATCATTTTACCAAACATTTATTAGGTAAGAACTACATGCCACACACTATAACATAGGTGTGTGTCTGTGTGTGTGTGTGAGTGTGTGTGTCCACGGAGCAGCTGGTGGATTTGAACCGCCAACCTGTTTGGTTAGCAGCCTGAGCTCTTAACCACTTGGCCACCAGTGCTCCCGTATAACATAGTCTAGGAAAACAGAAATTATAAAAACATGATCCTCGATCTTAAGAAGACAAATGACTCATAGAGACTATGATCTTATAATACTGATACCACAATTTCATCAAGTTCAAAATGAAATCTCAAAAATATAAAAATTAAAAAGGTAATTCTGAAAAGGTACATTTGAACTAAGACCTAAATAATATATTTACATTGAGTGCAGTCCAAATGATATTTAAAAAAATACAGCACTGGAAACAAAAACAGTATCCTCATTAAGTTGTCATTATTTTCATTACTTTTTATTACTCCAAGTTATTCTTATAAAATATAAATCTACTAACTTCTTAAGTGTTGTTTTATTAAATTCAAAATTTTCCAAGATAATTCGCCTCGAGAACCCATCTAAAAGCAGCTCACCAAGTCTTTTTCACATACCCTTCCCTTTCAAAAGATTTCATGCTCTCAAACTGTCTATCTTCCTTCTATTCTAATGAAAATTCCAATTCCTCCTTATACCTGATGTCAGTTGGGAGTCAAAAGAAAAACGATCAGATTAAATCAGAGTGAATCGGTACTGGTTTAATAACATTCTCAAAAATACTTGCATGCCTTAAGAGGATGTTTGTTAACAGAAATTAATCTCTAAAATGTGGAACTTAAGCCATACAAGAAAGAGAAATGAGGGGGAATAGGGTATTTTGGAGGCAATTCACTTAATAGTGGCTCTCTTTCCCACTGTACTCCCTCCCTAGTTGATCGTAATCCATTTCTAAGCAGGAATGTTCATATTATCCTTTAAAAGGTTATGTTTCATGAGGACAGGAACTTGGATCTAAAGAGGATGGTATTTAATAAATGCTCAATAAACATCTGTTGAATGAGCGAACTGATTAATTATTCCTTAGATTATTTCTGTTTTTCATGGTCTGCTTTTTTCTTCTATATTCAAACCCACTGATTTGCTACAATAGTCAATTTCTTTGTTTTCTTTTTCTTTTTCCCCCTACTACTCCCATGGTAGTAACATATTAAGTGGAAGGAAGAATCTACTTTTACTAGTAGTGTAATTTATAGGTTAATGTGGTTTTGTAGTTGGACTACAGAATCCAACTACTGTTTATAAAATGACTTCTCTGGGAAAATGTATTTTGAGTGTCAATCACTTTAAAACTAAACTTTTGGAACAAAACTTCTTTGTTAATTAATGATTTCCAGTAATATACTTAACATCACACTGAGTAGGTCATAAGTTTAAAAACAAACAAACAAAGGAATACTTCATTCCTACCCTGAAGAATTAATATGATTTTCTTAAAGTAAACAGGGTACAAATAACATAAATGTAGTGAGTATTTATAACATAGGAGTTATAGTCTATTTTACTGGTAGATAAGAATATGTACTTCCTATTATAGCATTCAAGGAGCCCTGGTGGCACAGTGGTTAAGCACTTGGCTGCTAACTGAAAGGTCGGCAGTTAAACCTACCAGCTACCCAATGGGAGAAATATGTGACCATCTGCTTCTGCAAAGATTACAACCTTGGAAACCCTAATGGGCAGTTCTACTCTGTACAGTATTGTCGCTATGAGTCAGAATGCACTGGAAAGCAATAGGATTATAGAATTCAGTTTCAGTGTTGTGTTGTTGTTCTTAGGTGCTGTTGAGTCAGTTCTGACTCATAGTGACCCAGTGTACAACATAACAAAACACTGTCTGGTCCTGCGCCATCCTCACGATCGTTGTTATGCTCGAGCCCGTTACTGCAGCCACTGTGTCAATCCATCTCGTTGAGGGTCTTTCTTTTTTTCGCTGACCCTTTACTTTACCAAGCATCATGTCCTTCTCCAAGGACTGGTCCCTCCTGATAACATGTCCAAAGTATGTGAAACAAAGTCTCACCATTCTCACTTCTAAGGAACATTCTGATTGTACTTCTTCCAAAACAGATTTGTTCATGCTTTTGGCAGTCCGTGGTATATTCACCATTTTTCAACACCATAACTCAAAGGCATCAATTCTTCTTCAGTCTTCCTTATTTATTGTCCAGTTTTCACATGCATATGAGGAAATTGAAAATACCATGGCTTGGGTCAGGTGTACCTTAGTCCTTAAAGTGACATCTTTGCTTTTTAACCTTTAAAGAGGTCTTTTGCAGCAGATTTGCCCAATGCAATGCATCATTTGATTTCTTCACTGCTGCTTCCATGAGTGTTGACTGTGAATCCAAATAAAATCAAATCCTTGGCAACTTCAATCTTTTCTCTGTTTATCATGATGTTGCTTATTGGTCCATTTGTGAGGATTTTTGTTTTCTTTATGTTAAGGTGTAATCAGTTTCAGTAAAGGCTATAAAATTGCTATAAAGATTATAATATGGGTAAGCTGAGGTCTGTAAAAAAAAATCTTTAGAACCATTAATACTTAGTTTCTAACAAGCTATCACCTCACGTGCATCAGAAAGCTGGACAATAATAAGGAATGACCAAAGAAGAATTGATGTCTTTGAATTATGGTGTTCGCAAAGAATATTGACTATACGATGCACTGCCAGAAGAACAAACAAAGCTGTCTTGGAAGAAGTACTGACAGAATGCTCCTTAGAAGTGAGGATGGCAAAACTTTATTTCATGTACTTTGGATATGTTGTCAGGAGAGACTAGACCCTGGAGAAGGACATCACGCTTGGTAAAGTAGGGGATCAGCGA